TGGCATCAAAAATGATGGCAGAGATAAGTGATGGCCTTACAGCTACACCAAACCCTTCTCAGCTTTCACCCTTCACAGCATTCACCACCCTCATTTCAAACCTGCAACACCCAGAACTCTGGAGTACTTACAAAGTCCATCCCTGGTGACAACACATCAGCTCTGTTCATCTGCAAAACTTCCCTTCACTGACACAGAATCAAATTGGGCATTAAAATCCCTTTTGCTTCCTGACATTTAAAAGGCTCCTGTGCTCTCTGCAGCTGAGGACTGGGATGCTGAAGCCCTGCAACACAGAAGACTGGTCACTGAGGAAAAAAGCTTCTCCTCCATCTTTCAGGGCAGAGATGTTTCTAACACTTGTGCCCAAGGGAAAGAAAAACCTTCAGGATTGAAATATTTACAGTCTTTGCACATTACCTGCTGCACACAACAGGAGACAGATTATTTAACTCCAAAAACTAGCTCTTGTGGGGTGGGGAGGGGCTGGGGAGGGGTGACACATTCCTTGGGTATGAGCCACAGCACAGGAAAGGGAGATGCCTCATAGAAAGACTTTTTAAATAAACCTTTGCTAGCTGTTTCTGGCAGTTCAGAGAAAACTGCACCTTTATAGGCAACCCTACCACTGCTGGAAACTAAAATTGAGACAATTAGGGAAAATAAAAGGCAGGTTGTAAGCTAGAAGAATTCTGAACTGTTCACAATATGAACAAGGGCTTCACTCTCCTTCTGCACTCCAAGGATGAAAATGTAACTCCTTCAATTTGATAGACTTATAAAATAATTTTTAATTGGAGGCCAATGTCAGGTTGTTTTTTTTTCCACCCAGCTTGGTTGGGTTTTTTTTTTCCATCTATCATTTTAACAGAGAGAAAATTAGTAACTAGCAGAAAACAAAGGAGCAAAGGCTTCACAGCCTTTCAGCTACTGTTTCTATATTTAGTTGCAGGGGAAGGTATAATACAAAAAAAACCCACTATTTGCAACTAAATTTCCAGAAGCCCCAAGACTCAGCGCTTTGCTGGTGCCCACACTGAGAGATCTTGCATCTGATTTACAAACATAATTACATCAGTGTAATTATACTGGTATAATTTCCCAGGAAAAAAAAGTTACTTTTCAACACCCAAGAGAAAGATTTTTATTTTTAAATTCATCATGAAAAATTATACCAGAATAAGTAGATGTGGTAAATTTCCCTGAAGAGATAAGGTCTAAAAACACAATCCTGTTGTGGTGGGCTGACCCTGGCTGGACACCAGGTGCCCACCAGAGCTGCTCTACCACTGCCCTCCTCAGCTAGGCATGGCAGAGAAAATACAAGGAAGGGTTCATGGCTCCAGATAAGAGCAGGGGGAGATCCCTCACCAGTTACTGTTGGAGGCAAAACAGACTTAACCTGAGGAAATTGGTTTAATTTATTACCAATCAAAGCAGAGCAGGGTAATGAGAAATAAAATCTTAACAAATACCTTCCCCCCCACCCCTCCCTTCTTCCCAGGCTCAGCTTCACTCCCAGTTTCTCTGCCTCCTCAAGTGGCACAGGGGGATGGGGAAGGGGGGCTCTGGTCAGTTCATCACACACTCTCTCTGCTGCTCCTTCCTCCTCACACTCTTCCTCTGCTCCAGTGTGGGGTCTTTCCCATGGGAGACAATCCTCCATGAACTTCTCCAGTGTGGGTCCTTCCCGTGGGATTCAGCTCTTCATGAACTGCTCCAGTGTGGATCCCCCGTGGGCTCACAAGTCCTGCCAGTACATCTGCTCCCACGTGGGCTCCTCTCTCCACAGGTCCTGCCAGGAGCCTGATCCACTGCAGGCTTCCCACGGGGGCAGAACCTCCTTTGGGCACACCCACCTCTTCTGGCGTGGGGTTCTCTGTGGGTCTCTGCTCCACTGTGGACCCCCATGGGCTGCAGAGGGACAGCCTGGCTCACTGCTCCTCACCACAGGCTGCAGGAGAAGCTGCTCCAGCACCTGGAGCACCTTCTCCCACTCCTCCTTCTTCAGTGTCCTTGGGGCTTGTATGGTTGTTCCTCTACATGCTCTCACTCCTCTCTCCCAGCTGTTGTTGCACAGCAGTTTTTTTCCCTTCTTAAGTATGTTATCCCAGAGGTGCTGCCACCACTGCTGATGGGCTGAGCCTTGGCAAGGGGTGGATCCATCCTGGAGCCAGCTGGCGTGGGCTCTGTCAGACATGGGGGAAGCTTCTGGCAGCTTCTCCCCTGTAGCCCCCCCCCTGCCCAAAACCTTGCCACCAAAGCCAGTCACAGGCACTGAGCTCTCTTGACACTGACCAAGTTTTGACTATTGAAACAGGAGATTATTACCACAAGGCTTTCAACACCATCCAGGCCATTTTCTCATACATTAGTGACATAACAGAAATTTATGGAAGTCTTTATTGAATCTTAATTGCTCCCTAAGACCATGACTGAATGCAAAAAGTGACTGCTTTCTGCTTTGACTGCTACAGCAGATGAGGATACAGAATCCTGAACTTGGATTTTTTCATGTAAGGGAAACTTCTGATTCTTTGTATTTCCATACAACATCTTGTCTCTTTTCTGTGAAGTCACAGAGTGTTTTGTCAAATCCAGATTTTACGAGCTCTTAAAAATACTGTTAGTTTTCTTTTAGGAAAGGTGTTTTTGAAGGATGAGATGAATAATTCCAATATTTAGTTTGCCACTAGAAGCCTCTAATATTTTGTTGAGGCTTTTCTTGTTCTTTACAAGGAGAAACATTTTAAACCAGAACACTACTGAAGAATTTAAATTGGATCTTCTCACTAGCAAATGAGTTCAAAGTAACCCAATTACAGTATGACATATTTATCAGCCATTAATGATGAGAAATAATATAAGTCAAGGGCAAATCTGTTTACAATTTAATAACCCACCTCAAGCAACTACCAGGAGAATTTACCAATACCTAAAAATTGCCATAAATTACACTCTTAGTTGAGAAGTTTAAAGTTTTTTTACAAAGCTCAGCTCTTGTAGATGCCACTGAACATTTGAGTTTTCTAAAGATGTAAAAATAGAACTCCTTTGGTTGAAATGATGTCCGAGAAACTGTAAAACCCCAAAACTGCAAAACCCAGGAAGTTTTTGAATGGTGAGGTGAAAACAAGAGCTGCACTTCCCTGTAACCTTGTGCATTTTTAACCTGTTACAGAGGAGGAATCCAGGATCACACTCAGCACGAACAGTTTCCACAGCCCTTCACACTGTTGGTAATCTCTTCTTCCAGTTTCTTCCTCTCCTCCTCTTTGGACATCCGATTATCCCTCTCCTGCCAGTTTGGATGATTATGGCTATTTAGTACTTTGCTGCTCTGTGTGTGCCACATCTCATAATAGAGATTGTTGGGACTTGCCAGGAGGTCTGCGTGTCTACCACGTTCCACAACCTTCCCCTGCAAAAGAAGGAGGGGAACAAGTCAGGAATTGATCTTACTACATCCTCAGGGATATAAATGCTGCCAGGATGTTCCAGGAATTACTCGTGAGGGACACCAGTGAAAGAGTGAGTGTGTGCTGCACTGGATTGTGTCTTACACTGCAAGCTGAAAACCTGGAGCTGTGTTCTTCCCAGACCTACATGCATGGGAAGGTAGATGCCTTTTGTCCACCTGGACAAAATTTAAAGCCCACCAACATGGAAGGTTTATTATCTAAACTGGAAGAGCCATTTAAAGCAAATTTAGATCTCTATGTGAGGAGCAAGGTGTTAAAACTACTAGTGCAAAAGTCACATGAATGAACCAACGTGTGTTTTTCTTTGCTTGATAACCAACACACACTGAGAAGCTGAAAGAAAAGAGCACACTAGATAAGCAGAACATTTAAAATCAAACTCTAAAAACAACTAGTGTAAACTGTGCTTTCAGGTGGGTGCTCAGTAACTCATGTTGTTGCAGTTGCCACCATGAAAATGGAGCAAGCAGTTCAGTTCATCTGTGTGACTCTGAAGAGCAAAGATGATTTATGGACTATTGCTGTGGAAAGGGGGAGAACTCAGATCCTACAGGCAGTGAAACAACACTACTCATCCAAAAAAAAAAAAATCAGACTCATCTTTTTACCTTGAGATACACTTTCACATTCACTGACTTGAGATTAAAATAATGTATTCATTCTCCAGCTAGTCTGTCTTTTGGGAAAAGGCAGCACTGTAAGGACAACTACATGGATTTTAGATTAGTTCTAAATTGTGATCTACAATTAAATCTACCTCCTTGTGACAGCTGCTGATGAACACGCTGGGAAAAAAAATTGGGTCTTGGACTTCTATTCCTACTCATGCTGGTGGAGTCTGAACAGAAACACACTCGACCCACACAACTGCAGAATTTACTTAAAAACCCTCAGAGTGGTTAATTTAGAGAGCTCATTGTAGAGACTGGGCTGGTGAATCATGGCTTTTTTTTTAATAACTCTCAAACAAACATCACAACTGTAACTTCCCAGTTCAGCTTCACAGCATTAAGATCTGTATCATTAACACCGTGTTTGTTTACTCAAGAATTATTCTAATTTTACCTAGACAAAGGTGCTGAAACTGTGCTGCTGTGTTCCCCTGGCTAAGCAACACCAGCCACAGGCACCTCCCCTCCCCTCCACTGCTGAGCCTTGCTTCTCTGCCTGCCACCACAGCACTCATCCATCAAAGCTGGGATGACAAGAGGCAACTTTCTGCTGAGCAAACGTTGCTGGTGGCTCCTGGAGCAGTCGGGCGCCGCCTCAGCCTCGCTCATTCCCCCCCAGTCATCAAAGTGAGCACCCTGCCTGCCTTACATTCTGGGCTGGGCTTTTAGTTTTAATTTAGCAGTTACACTGTAACACAAAACACACACTTAGGAAGCTGTGAAAAGTTGCACGGGCAACAAAAGGTCTCAGATTGTCTTCTAACACATAAAAAAGAAAACATTTGCAAGATGTTTTAACAGGCAGTTACATAAAGGATACACCTTAGCAAATGTTTCTTCAGCAAAAGCTGAAAAAACAAGCAGATCAAAACCAAACAAAAACTGCAGAGAGCAGCACGAGTGGTTTATTCCACCACTTCATTTGGGGATTCACAGGAAGCTGGGATTTGCAGAGCAAAGGCAGGCACGAAAGGGCTCAGGATGGGGCCAGTTCTCTTCAGTATCTTTATCAAGGATCTGGACAAGGGGATGGAGGGCACCCTCAGTAAGACTGCAGATGACACAGTTCAGGGGGGGGTGTTGATCTGTTTGAGGGTCAGAGGCTCTACAGAGAGGTCTGGCCAGGCTGGCTTGATAGGCTGAGGTTCAACAAGGCCAAGGGCTGGGTCCTGCCCTTGGGTCACAACCACCCCCTGCAACACTCCAGGCTGGGGAAAAGGGGCTGGAAACTGCCCGGCAGGAAAAGGACCTGGGGGTGTTGGGTGACAGCTGGCTGAAGATGAGCCACTGTGTGCCCAGGTGCCCCGTAAGGCCACCAGCATCCTGGCCTGGATCAGCACCATCCTGGCCTGGATCAGCACTAGTGTGGCCAACTGGAGTAGGGCAGGGATCATCTCCCTGGGTTTGGCATTGGTGAGGTTGCACCTCAAATTCTAGGTTCAGTTTTGGGCCCCTCACTCCAAGGTGCTGTCCTCATCGAGGTGCTTGAGCATGTCCAAAGCAGGGCAATGAAGCTGAGGAAGGGTCTAGAGCCCAAGTGTGGGGAGGAGCAGCTGAGGGAGCTGGGGGTGCTGAGCCTGGAGCAAAGGAGGCTCAGGGGAGACCTTCTGGCTCTGCACAGCTCCTGACAGGAGCCTGGAGCCAGGGGGGGGTCGGGCTCTGCTCCCAAGGGACAAGGGACAGGACAAGAGGAAAGGGCCTCAAGTTGCCCCAGGGGAGGTTGAGGTTGGCCCTGAGGAACAATTTCTTGCCCTGGAGGGTTGCCCAGGGCTGTGCCAGGCTGCCCAGGGCAGTGGTGGAGTCCCCACCCCTGGAGGGGTTTCCAAGCTGTGGCGATGTGGTGCTGAGGGACACAGGGCAGTGGGGACCTGGCAGTGTTGGATTAACGGCTGCACTTGATGATCTTAAAGGTCCTTTCCAATCAGAAAGATTTTATAATTAGACCATGCAACAAAAAATTGAGTGTTTTCCTGAAATCCAGGAAAACCAAATGGATTCTATGATTGTCACCATTTAATAAGATTTTGTTCCAATTCCCCACGAAATCCTACTGCAGGAATAATTAATTTTCTTCCCAATATGCATATTTTAGTCACTAAATTCACCTATGATCACAAGCATATAAATAGCAACTGAAAAGAATGAATGCAGAGATAAATTTAACATCTATCAGCAGACTAGAGCACTAGATTTTCAGCACTATCAGTTAAGAGTAGCAATGAAGTTATAATAAGGACATTTGTTTATTTTAAGTCTGTAGCCAGATATGGGTAACAGAGAAGAAAATGGACTTGGGATACACTGAGTATGAGGCAATAGCTCAATAGTGATGTTAGTAAATGAAATGTGGAAACATTTTTTTTTTCCTTTGAAGCATACAGAAAGGGAATAATAACACTTTTTTACAGGTACAATAGAGAATGGTGTTCAGATTTACCCCATAATTAGACTGAACAATCCTACAATAGTTTTATCTGCATGGAAACAGAACATGCTGTCCTCTCTCTCTCTCTCCATTGAAAGAAAAAAAACATGTATGTGAAAAACAGACACTGAGTAATGAGAATGAAGCATAAACTGGGGGAACACATTAGAAACCTGATCTGACAGAAGCATGTATCAAAAACATGCCACCATCAAGCCACTCCCAGAGCATCAAGTGAAATTTGTTACAATCCATATAAAGAACATTTAACTAAACAAAAAAAAAATGCACATAAAGTAAAAATATGACACACAAGAGAGCCACATGTGCAACTTTCTACAGCTGATAAACTGTTTAGTTGCAAAGAAGAGAAATAAATAAGAAGCAAAGTTTGGACTGGAATTTTCTAACACGGTTCCTATCCTAAGAGAGAACTTTCAGCAGTTTAAAGGAGTCTAATTTCCTGAAGAGGACACAAAGGCTCTCTAAAACAAAAGCTGCCATTCTGTGAGGATTACACACAGCAGGGTGAGGGCCTCACCTGGTCCAGCACGATGATTTCATCTGCATCAACCACTGTTGACAACCTGTGGGCAATGAACACCGACGTTCGGTGCTTCACCATGTCCCTCATGGCACTGAGGATATTCTGCAAGATTAGAAGAAGAGACAAACCCTTACACACTCCTGGGTGCTGTGAAGGGAAAGAAAATGCTGTCTGGAAATATGCAAACTCCTGTAAACAAGTTTTGAGAAACACTTCCAGTACTGCTATAGCATCACAATATGAAACAGCTATGAGTACCTACAGAAGAAACAGAAGAATCCCAAGCATGGATTAGCTGTGGCTCCAATGAAGTCCTCAAACTGCAAAAAAAATCTTGTATTCATAGAAAAATGCAGATATCCCAAGGGACAAAGGAAGAGAATTGTTACTTGATTTCAGGAAAAACTCCCCCATGCAGCCATGCTACAAAAGCAACATAACCAGCAGCAAAGGCACAGGAAAATAATAAATCATCATCAAAGCACTTTCCAATCAATGGAAGTTAAAGGAAAAAACCCCTCTCAATATCATGCCAATGTGGAATATAAAGTTAGGGTAATTCTGGGAATTCTGTCTGCTTCCTTTGTGAGCACTCTTCCACCCTCCCAAACTGTGTTCAGATGCAAGCAGCTGACTGGGAGTTTGTGCCCTCGCCACAGTAAGTGAAGCACCCACTTTATCTTCCTGAAAAACACTTGGCTTTGTCAGAAAACCTTTTGATTACCAGATCTACTTTAGTGGAAAGGACTCATGTCCATTTGCTGTCTTTAAAGTGCAGTTCTGCTGTGAACTTTTCAGCTCTGCCTGTGACTCTTGCAATAAACACAGCAAAATACAAGAGAGGAGGAAGCCGAGCTGTGTTCTGTAGGACTGGGTGTGTCATGGACTCTTCTGGTCCAACCAGGAAGCTGAACCAGATTTCAAAGTTGTACTATGTAGACACACAGTTTGTACTCTGATTTCTTTGTATCTGGAAAGTGAAGGTAATTCAGTGACTACAGGTCAGGATGTTTGCTCAATGACCAGCCCAAGTGAAGACAAACGTGGGTCTAGTTTTTGATGACATGAGCTTGTGAGGTTACTGCTGGTGCTGTGAGTTTAGTGGTTAAGCAGAGGTGGAGTGATGAAGCCTGATGCAGTGGCTGTGGTTGTGTCATGACATCTGTGTCACACAGCTCTGATGTCTCCCAGCCCCTCCTGTGCAATGCCAGCACTGCAGGTGACACCCACCTCATCTGCATCTCAGAAAGGGGCTGCACAGCAAGCAAAAGGTTTTCTGCTCTGCATTATGTCACCATTACTCCTAAGACATTTGTAATGAATGCTGTACGTCAGCTAAACACCTTTTCAAGTGGGTTGGAAAGGTTCCCCCTTCATGGCCACAGGATGTATTTGCAAGGGTTTTAAGAGAAGAAGGTTTAATGGTGAATGGGAGTTCAGCAGTGTAAAACACAGACCCAGAGAGAGAGCTGGAGCTCTTTGTGACATCTCAGGCAGTATCCCTGCCCTGGCCTTTAGGAAAAGGGCTTACACACAGGAACTCTTAATACCAAGAAAACACATGATAGCAATCTGGCAAAAGCACAAGGGAAAAGCATCAGAATCAGACATCATTACACCACTTAAGTTTTCTATTTTTTTTTTTATCCCAAATTACCTCTTCTGTAATTGAATCTAAAGATGATGTGGCTTCATCATAGAGAAAAATAAGTGGCTCCTTTAACATTGCTCTAGCAATTGCAATTCTTTGCTTTTCTCCTCCTGAATGAGGGAGGAAAGAGAAAGAAAAAAAAAAAAAAGCAGGTGAGGTTACAATCATAATATCCTAAATTCAGCAGCAGAAATTCTGTTTTGAGGGTTGGAGTTCTGGTTTGGCTTTTTTTTGTTTAAATATACATCATAGCTGCTACTGATAAAGGTCTGTACATGTTACAGAAGGTATCAGACAAGTTCTCACTCCCTGGTGAATCTGAAGTGAGTCAAAATTGCTTATGGTTTTAGGAAAAGCCAGAGAACTCTTCCAGGTAACCAATGAGAATGAGCAGTAACTCCCTCTGCACACCAGGGAGTATGAGCTCATCCACCCAGACTGAGCTGTGCCCTGTACACCCACCCACCCATCCTGCTGTCTCTCACAAATAAAACACTCTGCCCATGGCTGCTCTGTCTGATTTCATGCACCCTGCACACAGATTTGTTTCTTTCAGGTCTCTCCTCAACATTCCTCTAACCTTCCACTCCACAAGGGCCCAGGGTTAAAGTGTCCAGGCCTCACAGCTTTAACCAGCAAGTCTCATCCAAGAACAATTAACAGGGTACTGGAAATCACATTCATTATGCAACCTACTGCCTGCTGCCTTCTGATGTAACCCAGTTCCAGACTAGTTTCCTTTCTTCACAATTCTTACAGCCAACATCTACTCAAGAATAACTCTGGACAACTTTTACAGACAGGAAAACAGGTGCATTTGAGAACTTAAAAATCTGCTAAACATTTGGTAAGCAGTGCCAACATTTCATGGGTGTGCACTTGTCCTCCTCTGGTTTATTCAAGACTTCAAAACATTCCATTTAATATCACTGTATCACTGCTAATGCTCCACTCCTAGGAGGAAAGGATGTGCTTTAATAAACCATTTAGAAGGCTGATAATAATGCTGCAGTTCAAATTTGCACCTACAATTAGAATTGTACAATTTACTCAGTCTATTTTAACACACTCTTCTCTCTCTTTTATAGCACGTTCAAAACTCACTGCTTGACAATATCCATGTTTGAAAAGACATGACAATAACAAAACCCAAGGTCTTTCCTTACATTTGTAGCACACTGACTTGCTTTATGTTCTTCCCCATTCATATTCAGGACAGCAGCACATTAACCATTTCCTTCACAAAGTCAGAGTTTTGGGCTGTTAGAGCCCAGATATCACACATCTATTAAAAAAGCACCAAAATTGAATCTGTTTGAAGAAGCCAAAGGTTTTTTTCTCAATGAGTCAATCACTGAGACCAGTAAAAACTGAGCCAAATGCTTCCTTCACCACTGGAACTGAGAAAGCTCTCAGAGCAGCTAAGGCTGCCTTCTGCCTGCTTTTGTAGGGGAGAGGAACTCAGGTTTGCCACCCATGCTGCTGCCCTGCCATCAGGGACTCTTCCTGGCATTAATGCTCTTGCCAAGTAGAGAAAAATCCAACAGTTTTAAAGTATGAACACAGCACCTACAACATTTCCCAATGTCAGTCCTCAGAAATAAACTGCTCATTTTGGAGCACCTCTCCTACAAGGACAGGCTGAGAGAGTTGGGGTTGCTCAGCCTGGAGAAGAGAAGGTTCTGGAAAGTCCTTACTGCAGCCTCACAGTATCTGAAGGGGGCCTAGAAGAAAGCTGGGGGGGACTTTTAACAAGGGCCTGCAGTGATAAGCCATGGGGTAATGGCTTCAGACTGGAAGAGGGGAGATTTAGATTAAATGTGTGGAAGAAGTTCTCACTGTGAGGGTGGTGAGACCCTGGCACAGGCTGCCCAGGGAAGCTGTGGATGCTCCAGCACTGGAGCTGTTCAAGGCCAGGCTGGATGGGGCTTGGAGCAACCTGCTCCAGTGGGAGGTGTCCCTGCCCATGGCAGGGGGCTTAGAACCAGGTGATCTTGAAGGTCCCTTCCAACCCAAACCATTCTAGGATTCTATCATTTACTGGAAGAAATGAATCCACAATATACCAAATTTTTGCATACAGGGAGAATCCAATTTACTTATTATTTTTTAAAACAAAGCATTTGTTGCACTCAACTGATGTAACTATTCAGAGACCCAGGGCTCCAAATGAAGATCCCAGCTTTTCCTGGCCCACACTTCACTGCCACTGTTGTCACCCTCCAGACACAGGTCAATGGCTGTGGTGCCACTCAGAGTCACCCACCATGTCAGTGGTGCTGAAGACCTCAGTTTTCCCACCACACATAGAAAATGTCTGGGTTTTGAGGACCACCACTTAAATTCACAGAGCTTTCACTCCCCTATTTCTCCCACAAGACATTATTTTAAAAAGGCAAAACAAATCAGGACTTTTCAGACTGGAAGTATAAGAAGTTTCATAAAAGCTAAAAAAATTATTAAACAGATTTAGAAATTAATCTATATCTTTGTAACAGCTTAGGGAGCCATGCTACCATTCAGAACACCACAAACATTCAAAGTAACAGAGAACATTTTTCCAGAGCTACTGAAGGAACTCAAAGACACATTTGACACCTTCAACCCACTAAACAACTGAACCATTTCTGGCTGTTGCAATTCTCATTATCTATGAAAATATGGATCTGACAAAAGGACACAGCATGCAGTGGACACGTGAGCCCCACATCTCAACCTAAACCCACGAACTGGCACCTGGGAGCAGAACACAGAAGGAGATTCCCCAAGAGCTGAGCACACAACTGTACTTGGGAGCAATTCAAGGTGCACCCTGAGGAGCCCCAAGATGACATTTGTGACAGCATCAGCCTGTTCATTATGAGCAGGGTCCAAACTGACCACGCTGCCAGAACATATCCCACTGCCTTCCTTACTAGGAACAGCAAAACCAAACCACCACCTGACTTGCAGCTGTTACAAGACTTAAGAACTCAAATTTGGAAAGTCTATGGACATCTGCCTCTCACATCCTACATGCAAATCACACACACATACCAGGCCTGTTGTTACAGGAAAGGGGGGATGGTTTGAAACTAAAAGAGGGAGATTTAGACTGGAGAGAAGGAAGAAATGTTTGACACTGAGGGTGGTGAGCCCCTGGCCCAGGCTGCCCAGAGAGGTGGTCGCTGCCCCATCCCTGGCACCATCCCAGGGGAGGTTGGATGGAGCTCTGAGCACCCTGCTCTAGCTGCAGATGTCCCTGCTCCCTGCAGGGGGGTTGGACTAGGTGGCCTTTAAAGGTCCCTTCCAACTCAAAACATTTTATGATTCTATGATAAAGTTCCCAATTCTATCCACGTGCATTCCACTACCCAAATAAATTTGAGAAACATCATTTTTACTCAGATGCACCAGCATGCCTACATATCCACTCCTTCAATGCTCTCCCCTGAAAATACATTCATTTAAATATTTTACAGACTACAGCTGCCTTCAACCACACATCTTTGTACCAATACTCAGCCTTGCAATTCTGTTACAATGTGAAGGGGCTAAAAGCAAGTCTGACTGAAGAATAAACCCTAAACGTTGGAAGTAGCAAAAGGGACAGAGAGAACTTGTGTGCTTCAGAACCCACCTGAGAGCTTGAGTCCTCGTTCCCCAACCTGAGTGTTGTAGCCGTTTGGCATGCGGAGGATGGCATCGTGGATCCCAGCCAGCTTGGCCACTCTGTACACCTCCTCTGGGGTGGCAGCAATGTGGCCATACAGCAGATTGTAGTAGATAGTATTGTGGAAGAGAACAGCATCCTGTGTTCATGGGGAGATTATTATAAATGAGAAACCATGAATAATAGTTTAAAAACCATCCCCAATCCATGAAAGAAATCAATACGGAACAGCTTATATCTTTCTACAAAGCCTGAAGGTAGAAGTGTTTGGGGAAATTTCCCAAAAATGGGATTAATACAGTTTGTGTCCTATATATTTATCTGCCATGCATGCCTCTCTCACTTTGCTAACTCATTATGGGTGGTAATCGACTATAAAGCCAAATCACTTCAAGCTCGAGGCAGTTTCTCCTGAAGAGGCTTAAACACACTTCAGAAATTGGATCTGTCTGATGATGCACATAAAACCAGAGTATTTCCTGGGGAGGAGGCAGGGAAAAGCAAGCTTGGTGACTTTAAACAGAAGTAGACACTGAGTGAGGATTGGCCCTCACTGAGCCAGTGTCAGAGTCCTGAGAATCACTGTTACAATGGACTGTTTGGGAGATGAAACAGCTTACCTGAGGTACAACTCCTATTGATTTCCTCAGGCTTTCCAAACTGACATCTTGTATGTTCTGTCCAGCAATATAAATATTTCCTTTCTGAGGTTCATAGAAACGAAATAATAACCTCACAATTGTGCTTTTCCTGAAATTGAAAAGAATTCAAGCTAATGTTACATCCCTCTTCCCATTCACAAACTCCAAACAGAACTGATGCCACAAACACAAACAATGAAAAGCAAAACACAAGAACAAAAGCATTTCAGACACAAAATTCTGCAGCATTGATTGGCATATTTAGTCCATTTACCCACCCTGACCCACTACCTCCTACAATGGCCACTTTTTTTCCTGCAGGGACTTCAAAAGACACTCCAGCAAGGACTTTCTGCCCCTCAAGGTATTCAAAATGCACATTGTCAAAGGCGATGGCAGCAGTCTCTGGTGTGATCTGCAGGGGTGGAGCCAGCTCTTTGTCCTATTAAAAGAAGAGTGCCACTTTATATGCTGCCCAGAAAGTCTCTCAAGCAGTTCAACAAGCTGAACAGTCCATTTCCCAGCTCAGAAAAAGGCAAACACACACTCCAGCCTGGATATGTTGAAAGTAATCACAGTTTACCACACAAGTGAAATTGGTTTTTCCTCCTTTCCCC